AAGTTCTGGGGATATAATGTACAGCATGGTGACTATAATTAATAATACTGTATTCTATATTTGAAAGCTGCTAAGAGAGTAAATCTTAAGTTATCAGTACAAAAAAAAAATTTGTAACTATGTGAAGTGAGTATGTTAACTAACCTTACCGCAGTAATCTTTTCACAATATATATATGTCAATCATTATGTTGTGCACTTTAAACTAACATGTTATATGTCAATTATATCTCAATAAAACTGGAAAAAAATTTGATCAACCACGCTAGAGGACTGAATTATCTTCCAATTCTCTCTATATAAAATGAAAATGCAAAATTATTGTCATATAGAGATTATCCAAATTTTAAAATGCAGAAAACATAGCATTATAGAAATGTTTTAGGCAGACAATAAAAATATCATGTTGTTTTTTCTGGATTTTATGAGTTTGTGGTTTTTGTCAGCTTTTAGAAATTTACCCAGAGTGAACTCTAAAAAATATTACAAATGAAATAAATTATTTTAGTTAAAAAGAGTTTAATGATTCCTAGATAACACTAAGAGCCAACTGAAAGCAATTTAACTTCTAACTTTGCCCGCTCTCTGAAGCAAAAACAAAACAAAGAGCTTTGACTCTTGAATTAATACCTGTGGGTTTTAGGGAGGAACAAAATCACACAACCATGGAAAAGGAAACCCTGTAAGTGACACGTGTTTTCAAAACAAAACAACAGTTAGTCTCTCAATGTTCAAACTTTACAATGAACTACTTCTAGTTCCTCCAACGACACCACGCGTGCTCTCTTGCCTCTTTCACATGTTGTGCCCACTGACAGAAAATTCTTCTACCACATCTCTGCCTGGCTGACTCCTACTCACACTCTGCATCTTAGCTTAAAAATCACTTCCTCCACAAGACTCTCAAATATATGTTACACGTGTGCTTCAGAGTACTGTTAACTTACCCATATCACAATATATTTTAATTATGATCATTCAGTTGTCTGCCTTCTCCCTGCAGTCCAGCATGGTATCTAGCACATAGCAAGTGCTTTTATTAAATTACTTTTATTTTAAGGCTGCCTCCATATAAGGATGCCAAATAAAACTCTTTGACCAAAACCGTTTTGGAATGAGGTATGGAAAGAAGGTAACTATTCAGTTTTGATAATTAAATATAGCAAATGGCAATCTACCTAAACATCTACTTAAATCAGGTACCTCTAGGGCATTAAATTTTATCATGTTTACAAACACTGCTTGTCACTAGTCATTTATTTTCATTCAAAAGAAAGTTTTCCAATTAGATTTATCAAATTAAGTAATTCAGTTCAATTTATTACTTAATATTTAATAAGACAGTGGGAAAAAGACAAGAGAAGGAAACACAAAACAGCTAAAGTGGTTTAACTGCTAATCTGAATAAATGTTCAATTTTTAGAATGAAAAAAGCAGTGGAGAATTAGGTTTAAATGGTTGAGGTTCTCTATGGCTAAATCATCTATTCAAGAGTGTTTATATCAACTAGAAAACATCAAGATATTAGAAAACATCTTGTGATATAGAAAAATAAATTGACCATTTTATCAGCAACTTTAGAATAGACAAAACATCTACAGGTGACGGAAAAGATTATTATTATTTTTAACTGGCAGCATAATTTTTAATATTTTGCTTTACTTAACCAAACTACTTACTACAAAGGATATGGTTTCATACACAAATATAAAATAATGAAGGAAAAAATATAACTCAATCTACAACAAGGCATGATTTAGCTACTGAAATGATCAGATGTGCATACTAACTCCTGTACTGGTGACACATTTGAACAGGAATCACTAAATTCCACCTGCAGGCACATCATGTCAAGTGTGTATGAACAATAATAATTTCATGGCAGTGGTGCCAAGGGAAATATCGTAAGATTCTTTGTACAAGTCAGAACAATAACAGTTGTAGTTGATTTACAGCTAACTAAAGGATTAATGTCAAAGAGCTTATTAAAATTCATTCTGTTTCCTCTAATTCTAGAAATAGGTTGGTTTCTCCAAAAGGTACATATACAGATAATGTATATAAACAGAAACAGAAGTGGACGGTAACCATACTTTTCATAAAAATAAAAATATTCTAAGCTCAGACATAAATCTCTTCCTTTTTTAGATACAAGATTAGCATCTAAATTATTTTAGTTACAATGAGCTCTGCAAGCGTGTTGAAAATAATCACTACTTTAATTAAAGGTATCCAACAAGCGCAGTTTAATTCATCAGCATGAAGAAAAATATATGATTTTATACAATACCTGTAGTGATAAAGGAAAGATCTATTTAATTAAAATTATAATTGTGTGCCACCATGACACAATGACTTCTTTAATTAGGGACTGCAAATCACTAAGAAGAAAATACCATTGATAACTCTTCAGTACTGGAAATTATACAGAAGGCTTGGAAAAAGTTATAGGATAGGTGGAGGAAAGAAGGTAGAGATATTAAAATTGGTCATTTTATTTAGTTCCTATACATTTAGGACAGTTTCTATGCCTCTGATCATTATTCTGCTAGGTAAGGTGTTTGGCATGAGCTTACTAAGAAGGACTTAGACTAGAAGTAGGTAGAAGTGAATGTACTAACCAGAGTTCTGTCATTTATAAACTGTACGCCCCTGGATAAATCACTTAGTATCTACTAGGCCTTAGATTCCACATAAATAAAGGAAGGATGATTTCTAGAACCTGTTTAATTGTAACATTAATAAATTCTGAATGTTTCAAATTCAAGCCATTTTTAATCTTCATTTCCTGTAGTGGCTACTACAGACTACAAAATGCACAAGCAAGGATTAAAAATCAAACAAACCAAATAACCAGTTGTAGCACACAGGCAGGGCCAAACTACATACTAAATTTAATACATCTAGTGAGGCCAATTTTTCTATATATATATATTTTTTTTTGTGAGGAAGATCAGTCCTGAGCTAACATCCATGCTAATCCTCTTCTTTTTGCTGAGGATGACCGGCTCTGAGCTAACATCTATTGCCAATCCTCCTCCTTTTTTTTTCCCCAAAGCCCCAGTAGATAGTTGTATGTCATAGTTGCACATCCTTCTAGTTGCTGTATGTGGGATGCGGCCTCAGCATGGCCGGAGAAGTGGTGCCTCAGTGCGCGCCCGGGATCTGAACCCGGGCCGCCAGTAGTGGAGCGCGCTCACTTAACTGCTAAGCCACGGGGCCGGCCCCCAATTTTTCATTTTTCTATTAACTGACTACTACCCTAAAAGTTGCCTCTCCCTAGAAACAGTGAAACATTAAGAACCTTGCCCTACTTAGGCTACACATTTCCACAATCAAAGAATCTTGAAACTGAACTAAGTCCACAAAATGGAAAAGTTAGCCACAGTGAGCCTGACAGAGTTGCTTTTTCTATATCTTCCTAACCTTCATACCTAATCTGTTCACACCAGCTGTAAACTACAGACCAGATCAATGACAGACATAACCTCATAACTAAAGCTCAGCTAGGTGCTAGATTAAGAAGTTGACTTCAAAATTTGAAGTGAGTTACAAAGAAAAAAATATGCTGATATATAGACTAGGCTCCTAACCCCTCCTAAGGAAGAAAAAACTCACATCACAAGATAATACTTTAGATCCACGTAGGACTTACAGAGCAGCTTAAAGCATATTTTAGAAATCACCCAATTAACTTTCCTGACACTTCTGTGAAGAGTCAGGTATTATCTGATATTTTCCAAATGAGGCAAAAAGAAACAAAGGAACTAAAGTTATGCGCTTTGCCAATGACATAGTTCCCTATTCCACATCTAGCGCTTTAACTTGTGAAAAAAGGTGCTCAGCTTCACGATAAATTATATTAACTGAAATGCCTCAGCTTTTTGAAAAATGTTTGACTTCCCACAAGATGTGAGTGCAGAGACAATGTATTCTAATCACTTGGTTCAGTATCTGCCACACTGTAGGCACTCACTGTACGTTTGCTCAATGAATAAAGGCTATTCATGATAGTTAACAATTCCTGCAGCTCATATACCAGGCACTGTGCTAAGTGCCTTACATATATTACTTCATTTAATCCTACCAACAACTCAAAGAGGTGTAAATTATTACTCCTCATTTTACAGATGAGGACACTAACACCTAGGTTAAGTGACCTGCTCAAGGTTACAAAATGATAAAGCCAGGATTTTAATAAATGTAGCCCAACTTTAGATCTTGTTTAAAGATCATCATCGTAGAAAGAACAACAGACGAGCAGTAAGAAACTCTATTTATATTCTATTCCCTCTATCACCAAATCCTTCAAGAAAGGGATATTTCCTGCTGATCTTTATATTTCTTATAATGCCTAGCATAATACCTTAATCACATTATTCCTCATCAAATGTTTCCTGAGTAAAATGAAAATCACATAAACAAATTAGGCTTCACTGTCCTCAACTGTAAAATGGAGACAAAAGTACCTGCACAGTGTGCCTCAGTTGTTCTCAAAGTGTGGTACCTAGACTGAAAATGCTGTCAGAAATGCAAATTCTTAGACCCCACACCAGACCTACTGAATCAGAAACTAGTGTTTTAACAAGCCTTTCAGGTGATTCTCATGCATGCTGCAATTTCTGAGTTCGAGAGTTCTGAAGTTCGAGAACCACCAATCTAGCCAATAGGATAATTATGCGAGTCAAGCGAGTTCAATAATGTGAAGACGCCCTAAAAAGTAAAAGGTATATCGTCATCATCATTAAAGAGTAAATTATGATTCTTGAAAAAACTTAGTGATTTTGCTAAAACCAGATAAAAAAGAACATCAGACATGAAACAGATCATAAAACACTTTCAAAATAAAACACTGTTCTAGATGTTATCTGGATAATGTACAGCATTCATAGATCCAGAGAAAAAGATGACTATGAGCCATAAAGTTGTACCAAGAAACCTGATAATTTGGTTACACGGCGGTTCAACCCAGAGCTCTGACACGCTGCACAGGCTTCTTACCTGACCAGTGTCCAGTGGAGATGCCAGATCTGTCTGTGCATGTCTCACTTACAGGTCTAAACACAGTTTCCCATCCACCAGTAGCATAGCGCCAATTCTGAGATTCCAAGATGAGTGTTCTCTGGGTGCCATATGCTATCATGAAGCAGTAGACCACATGATGGAGTTGACAGCCATAGCCACAGCCTTTGTTGATATTACACACTAGCTTCTTGGCTTTGCTGCAGTCCTTGGGATTCTGTCAGAAAACAAAGAGAAACAAAGATGAAGATAATCTGTACAGAGAGGTTAACTTCTCTTTATAGGTGACTAGTGTCACAAATCACATAATAAGCCAAAACTGATCCAGTGTATCTTTCTAAGCAAAGAATCCAGCTTTAAGGATTAGATTTCGAAGAATCCACTAAAAATTTTAAGTGCATACTTAGGGAGACAACAGTGAAAAAGAACAGTTACTTTGGAAACATCACTAAACAAAAGCGAAATTGAGCAGTAACATTTTAAAACATACTCTTTCACTTCTTTATTACTCAGAACACACAAGTGTGATCATCTCTGAACCCAAAGTTGTACACATTGAGATCTTTATGAAAGAAGTAAAATAGTTCATTTATTCCAGCTGCACCTTAGCATTTTGAACTTACCTTCCCTGATGAAACTCAAGTCATCTTAAAAGAAAAACTATAATTTACCTATTAACTCCATCTATCAATCTCTGAGTTCTAGATGTCACAAACAAAATGTACTTTTTCATTGTGGAAGTAGAGCCACTGAGTAAAAGGATATCTGAATTCAACAATTACAAATTATCAGTCACGGGATTTTGTTTTTTAACCAATCTTGATGATAGCTACTAGTAATTTTCACAATAAAATGTAGAACATGCTCTATGTTGACTATCTTGAGAATGTGTTATGTCAATTTTTAATTAGGAGATCCACTTTTCTATTTGTATACTTTGCTACAAGATGAATAGCAAGTGGTTAAAACACTTAATATTATCTAACAGTGGGTGCAATGAGGTTAGCTAATGTGAGAAGTTTTTTTTTCCACTCTCAAGTTTCAATTCCACTGTAATTCATATGAGCTGTTGCTAATTATCCCTAGCCATCTTAGTTTTTCAAATAAAAATTTGTTTTGACAACGACTCCTTAGCCCGAGAAGTTTCTCAAGCTGTTTTGTCTGCAAGGAACGAGAAAAGATGGGTGCTTTCAGGAACAGAATCTTTTCTCACACACAGCAAGAAGCAAGATAACCAGTTCTCAATTTACATGAGCCTTTAACAAAGTAGTTGCCAAACAAATCTACAATTATTTTCTAGGGATATTATCTGTTCTGTCAAGTACAGCCCTAGAAACACAAGCTAGGATAGTGAGGCTATAAAATGACTCTGAAGGAAAAGCTGAGAGGGAAAAATGCAACACAGTTACTTTCAGAAAAGGTATCTTTCATATTCAAATGTGCCACTGCAGGCTGGGTTTTTTTGGATCAAAGCAGAACCTATACCATCAAGAGCCTTCTGAAGAGTTAGAGCCCTTATGAATCCGAGAGACTACGTAAAATTCAGCAAGGTTTGGTCAATACTGTTTCCCCAATCAAGTACTAGAGTTGCTGATTCTTTTCACTTGAAACTTTGAACTCATAGCAGACTCTGAAGGCAGTAAGCATTCCCACTCCAACTGCGGTAACCACAAAAGATTTAAGAGGAACAGAAGGGTGTGATGTTATGTGGTATTCAGAGACCAATATCATTTACTTTCTGTACAATATTATACAAGGATCCTTGGAAAGAATAATTCTCAAAGTGATCCAAAGCTTTATTATTAACTCAATGGTTTATCAAGAGAGTAAATAAAGAACATGGACATTTGTCAGATTTTTGATGGTTTCTAATACAGTACTTAAATATCTCTAAAATTTATATGAATGAAAATGTCCTTCATAAGTTTTTCAATAAGCTTTTCTTTTTAGAACAGTTTTTAGATGTACAGATTTACTGCAAAGATAGGAGAGAGATCCCATATACCTCACACCCAGTTTCCCCTATTATTATATCTTACATTAGTCTTCAGATTTTTTTTAAGGAAAAAAAAAGAGTGAGGGAACATAATAATTGAAACATCTGATCTTTAGTTTTGAAACTATAGATTTTTTCCTTACAAGACTCACATCTGCATTTAAAAAAAGCACATCTACTGTGCTTCTTAAGAGAAAAGTTTAATTAGAACCCAATGCTTTGAGCACAAGAACTGAGGCCTAAAATAAAGAGGTCAATTTATGAAATGAAGCTTAATTCAAGAGTCTTAGTGTGCCTCAAATCAAGCTGCAGACACAATATATTAAATATTTCTATGTCATAGGTAACACAGAGAAAGGAAAAAAAAATCCATTATGTTTGGTTCTGGAAAGAGAAAGGTCTACATACACAAGGTATACAATGGAAGACTCCAAGGCAGAGAGTTAGCAATAAGAGATCATGAATGACCGTTTGGAATGATAACAGTAAATAAAACACTGAAAAAGCTCAGAGCCACATCCTAATTTTTTTACCAAAATAATATATAAAAGTCTGGAAAATTCAAAGGATCTTGTTCACAAAAGATTCAGAAAAAGGCAGTGAGACAGAGAGAAACAGAAACAGTTATGTGTGTTCTAACACAAGATTAGGCTTAACAGAATAAATACCTAGAAAAAACAAGCAGATATTTATAAGGTAAAAAAAGCAATAACTCTGAGATGGACAGGAATTTATTCTGATAGAAAGGAACCTTATGGAAACCCCTTATCTGAGCTAAGTCTTTGTTATCTACCACTGTCACAAAGTAACAACAAATAAAAAGAGATTTACAGGGGGCCGGCCTGGTGGCATAGTGGTTAAGTTCACGCACTCTGCTTCGGTGACCTGGGGTTCGAAGGTTCAGATCCCAGGTGCAGACTTACACAGCACTTGTCAAGCCATGCTGTGGCAGGCGTCTCACATGTAAAGTAGAGGGAGGTGGGCATGGATGTTAGCCCAGGGCCAATCTTCCTTAGCAAAAAGAGGAGGATTGGCAACAGATGTTAGCTTAGGGCTAATCTTCCTCACCAAAAAAAAAAAAAAAAAAAGATTGATGAGAGTCTATAAAAGGGAAACAGAGCCATGGTTATACATATATATGTAACCTTCAAATATCTTACCAAATAGCCTTTGTCAATTACCATGGATCCTGGTTTTACACTTTCATGTTGATGTCTACAAAAGGCTTGAAGGTATGTCTCATCCATGAGCAAGAATATATAGAAGGGCTTCATTACTAAAAGCAGCTTTACTTTAATCATTCCAACACTTTAACAGGGTAGCTATTTCTGATGATAAAATTGGTTTTGCAATTGCTTCTAGTGTGCCTAAAGCACTCTCTTCTATATTGCTCTATCAGTTATACAAGAATGAAGATATATTGTTTTATTTTATATTGTGATTCTTTCAATTGCACCCCTTCCTCCTCTTTTATGACACTCCTTCTACTCATCACACACACACGGAATATGATACACCCCCAGCAGAGGAAGGCTCACTAGGAAGTGCTTCTTATTTGGGACTGGAAGACAGGGGAATACAGTTTGAAAATGCCTCCCCACTCAGACTCCCCGAGTGAGTCTCACGCACTTCTCCCTCCTTCTGCCTTGAGTGTCATTCACCAATCAAGTATAGGTAAACTTTTGCTCATTCAATAAATATTTATTAAGCACTTAATATATATAAGGAAACTTGGGAGACAACAATCCAATAGAATAAGAAATAATATATATGAATAACTACAATAGTAGACAATTTAAATGTTCTAAGACTGTGATAAACAAAGAGTTAAGGAATAGAAGAGGAAAAAAATCACTTTCAGCTGGACTGGGAAGGGTTATGAATAAAACTATATTTAAGCTAAACCTTGAAGATATAATTTATTGTATTTATGAAATGCTAAGAAAATGGACTTTTTTTCATTATTCAATGGGAGTCCATATTGTAAAGAATAATTGTGAAGAGTAAAGTAAAATGATAAGTTCTATAAATTATATTTATAACGTAACACTTTTGTATATAGGGTCTTCTTAAAGTTAGATTCATCAATTGGCACATACATTCTTGCAATGATGATGATTATTCAAGGTTTAGAAATAGGAGGTAAATTTGTCAAAATTACTTGAGACCACATGCTCTAGTTAAAGAATTCTGCAGAGAGGTTTAAGATACAATTTTGTTCTAATTCAGGCTCTGTTATGAATTCAATCATGTGATTTTGCTTCAATTTGTTAATTTAAAATTGAGACAAAAATTACCTCCCTCTATAACCTCTCCTGACTCACCCATCCTTCTTTCTCAGAGATACTATGAGGCTAATGACATGGTATATGCGCAAAGCTAATTCAAACAAACTATCTCTTTTATCTTCATAATCTCAAGAGACATTATTTCACACTGGATAAATGCAATACTTTTTGCATTTAGTGCTACAAGGAGGCCCAATCACAGGCCCTTATAAGCTAACAATGTTATGTAAGATTTCTACAGTTATAATTCTGCAGCAAAGCTGTCACCATAAAACATATAAATCGAGAAATAAGGACTTAAAATCGGGTTTTTCTGTATTCAGTTTCCTTTTCTTCAGTTTTTTTTTTAAACACTATCTGAGGCATTTCTTCTGACATTGTTAGTTTTCAAGAATGATCCTATCTCAACAGGACTGAAAGCTGTATTTGCTCTCACTGTCCTATAAATAAACATCGGGAAGTGTACTTAAATCCATACGCCTTCAACTAAAATGGTATATTAAGGGAAGCAGCATCTCTTAAACCTAAATGACTACTAACTCACTAACAGCACCATCATAATACTGAAATATTTTAGTCTCTTTTACTTCGGTTAAAATATGAAAATAGTTACTGTTGGATATACCAAATCAGGATGCAAACTTAATTTCCACTTTGCTAAAAAAGAATAATTTCCAGTCAACTAGTAGCCCACAGCCATTATTATATTACTTAGGCACTGCTGGGACTCAGAGGTTTCCACTGGCTTCACTTAGTAAATTAGTAGTAATTGTGACTTAAATGATGTAATACTACAAAATAGCACTGATTCCGTGGCTGTTAAACCAATCATAGATAAAGGCTTTTGCCATGACTATTTTAGATTTTCCATACACACAAATAAAAGCCTCTTCAGAGAAACATTTTCCAGCCACAACGTAATTTCCCTTACTT